AGAGTAATTGTCCCGCTTTAGGAGGGCCCTTTCAAGTGCCAGTTGGAGCCACTGAGGGTCCGGATGAATCAAGGCCCCCTGACGCAGGGTGATCCGGTCTGAGGGGATCCTCCATGGTCATGAGACAGAGAGGTTGACAAGGTCCGCGAACCATGGTCAATGTGGCCAATGAGGAGACACTAGGATGATCTCTGCCTTGTTGGAGATGACTTTCCGAAGTAATGCTGGTATCAGAGGCAGCGGGGGGAAGGTGTAGTGTAGGCTGGGGGGCCATGTGAGCCAGAGGACGTTGAAACCTTCTGCCCTGGGTGTCGGGAACCTCGAAAAGAACCGAGGTAGCTGGTGGTTCAGGTTCATCACAAAGAGGTAGATGTCCAGAGTCCCAAACCTGCTGCACATGTCAAGTAAAATGTCTGGATGGAGCTGCCATTCGGCAGTGTCCACTTGAGACCTGCTGAGAAAATCCATTTGAATGTTTGCAGTCCCCACTATGTGTTCCACCCGGATGGAGAGGATGTTCTCCTCGGCCCACTTACTGAGGCGAAAGGACTCCTCCATGAGCCCCCATGAGCAGGTCCCTTCTTGGCGATTGACGTGTGCCTTCGTGGCGATGTCTGTTAAAATCAGGACATGCTGATTCTGTAATGACCGTTGAAAGTGACTGAGGGCAAGGCAGATGGCCTTCAACTCTAGCCAGTTGATTGGATTGACAAGGTCCTTGGAGGCCCAGCGGCCCTGTGCCACTCAGGAATCAAGGTGGGCTCCCTAGCCAAAGAAGCTGGCATCCATCGTGAGAGTGATGCTCTGGTGGTCCACAAAGAGACATCCTTTGTCTAGAGAAGGCGACATCCACCAATGAAGAGATTGTCTGACTGAGAGAGGAACCCTGACCTTGGTCATGGTGTGAGACTGTTGGGTGCTCTGAAAAGGGAGGAGGAACCACTGGAGATGCTGAGCATGGAGGCATGCCCAGGGAATGATCTGCACACTTGAGACCATCTTGCCCAGTAACTTGGACAAGGTGGCCAGGGGAACTGACAGATCCTTGTGAATCTGAGATATCAACTCCCATATGTCGGTCCTTCTTTCCAGTGACAGGTAGACTGCTCCCTGCACAGAATCAATGATGGTGCCCAGATGAACAAGTCTGGTGACTGGAGTCAAATGGCTTTTCTTGTAGTTAACCATAAAGCCGTGGTCGATTAAAGTCTGAATCGTGAGATCGAGATCCTGTAGGGCTTTGCTGTAGCAAAGCCTGGATCAAGATATCGTCCAAATATGCCTGGATTCTGACTGGCGTCAGTCGCAGGTGCGTGGCCAGGACCTTTGTGAAGCACCTTGGGGCCAAGCCCAGCCCGAAGGGGAGAGCCTTGTATTGCAGGTGCCTGCCCGCATAGCTGAATCGCAGGTACTTGCGATGGGCTGATAGAATGGAAATGTGGAGGTAGGCTTCCATGAGATCTACTGAGACCAGGAAGTTGTTGGGATGAATCCCTTGTAATATGGAGGTTAGGGAGCACATTTTGAACCTCCGGTAGGCAATGTGGGCATTGAGGGATTTTAGATCTAGAATCGCTCCCCCCCCGACCCCAAACGCTTTGGCACTACAAAGAGAATGGAATAATAGCCCTGCCTCCACTAACTTTTTCAAACCTCCTCTATAGCTTGAATCTGGAGGTGTTGAATAGCTTGTTCCATCAGCAGTTGCCTGGTCCTGTTTTTTGAAAGAGGGCACTGAATGAAGCGATTTGGGGGTTGGGAGAGGAATTCTAGGGGAAGTCCGAATTTGACTACAGAAAGTACCCAATGATCTGAGGTTGAAAGTTCCCACCTGTCCGCAAAGAGAATCAAGCGGCCCCCAAGCCGCGAAAGGTCCACTTGGACTGAGGGAATTGCTTGGGTCTGTCCTGAAAGGACTGATCCTCAGATGGGCAATTTAATCCCTAAGGGTAGACCTGCTAGGAAAGACCCTCCTGCGAATAGGCACAGAAAGATTGTTTCCTATAGAATGGAGAACACTTCCTGTCAGCACGTCAAGTTGATGAAGGAAGAATTTTTCGCTTATCCCGTGTTTCAATGAGAAGTGGCTCAAGAGACTCTCCAAAGAGCTTTTCTCCGGTGTATGGAGCTGCAGGTAGGCGCCATTTTGCCTTGAGGTCTGCTGGCCACTGGCAGGCTGATACTGCAGATGCCAGAGCTCTGGATACATACTTGGCAGTATTTAAGGTAGCATCAGCAGAAAATTGGGTAGCTGCACTAATTTTGTTAATATCTTGATGGAGGCGAGCTTCGCTTGGGGCTACCCTGGCCTGTAATTGTTGAAGCCACAGGATAGTGGTGTAGTTGAAAAAGGAGGCAGAGGAAGCTGCTTGAATAGCCCAAGCTGCAGCCTGGTGATTCTTTTTAAATAAAAGGTCAATTTTTTTGTCCTCTGGACGGACAAAAAGATATCCCCAGTAACATAAGAGGAAGAGGAGGAGAGAGCTGAAACAGGACTGCCTACCGGGAAACCTGCAACCATTGGTCGAACTTGGGGGCTGCAGAGTAATACTTTCTATCTGCCCCGTTCACTGAAGAGACAGTTGCAGGATTTGAGCAATGTTTTTGCACCACATCTATAAATAATTGTGGAGCCAGAATAAATCATTGCTCAGGAGCAGACTCAAAAAAGAGACCTTGAAGTTGTCCTTGTTGAGCTTCCTAAACTTCCCTGAGAATGTCATCCTCTTTTAGGGCAGCAGTGATTCGTGCCTTATGAAGTAAGGACTTGAATCTGTTTGGGGGGGAAAGTCCTGTAAATGCAGGTGTGTCTGGGATCACCCCTTCATCATCTGAAAAGTCAGTGTGATGTTCCTATTCAAAGACAAAGGCCTCACTGCCTCTGGAAGCGTCAGGTGAATGGGAACCAGTCAAGCTAGCTGAGGGAGAGCCTTGACCTGAACAGACTGTTCTGAAACTACTGATCCAGAATGATGACCCTGGAAACAGTTGCCATGCAAGAGGCAATGGCCTGGTCAATAAGAAGTTGTAATCTTTCTGGTAAATTCTTAAAAGGATCATCTGTAGGTCTATTTGGTAAAGGAGATCCTCTTGCAGAGGCTGCCACTGCAGAGACTCTACCAGCTTCAGGAAGTGCAGATGGAACTAACTGACAAGCAAAGGGATTCTGTGTAGGGACTTGCTCTCCATGAGTCAGCAACGCTGGACCTAAGTAAGTTCCACCTTCCAAGACTGATTTGGGGATGGTGCAGGAATATGATGAGAAGGAGTACTGGGATGGGAACAGACCTCCTTGACAGCGAAATTTAAAGCAGCTTTGGAGACTTGCTTCTCTAAAGACTTATGCCTTCGTTCAAGGTCTTTTGCCTCTGCCTTAGAAATATGCTTGCGTTTGCAGGAAACCTTTTTCCCAGTGGAAGTCTCAGCTCCCTCCCCATGGGAAGAGCTATCCACCATTTTGAATCTGTCATCACTGCAACCAAGATGGCGACTGGAGGAAGATGAGTTTCACTTTCGCCACATGGTGGAGTAAACGGCAGCGGCTGTGCTGGTGAAAAACTGGGCTAGCCAGCACACACGTGAGCAAGGAGGATGCTGCTCAAGGGGCGGCTTGTCTAGGCAGGAGCCTTAGATCTTGCCAGCTCCCAGCGCCTATGACCGCGGTCAAGCAAAGTGAGATCGGCAGCCATTCCAGTGCCACGTGGAGGGTGCAGAAATAATCGTGCACCACTCCACTTTTAAAGTCTTCATTGGTGGTGTAGCAGGAAATAGAGGCCAAACTGCTCCCAGGCCTCCTCTCTGCTCTCGTTGGTGGCAAAGTGGCAAAACCCCTTTTAAAAGTTGCCACAGCACTTCAAAGAGTCGCCCTACAACTGATCAGAGGTAAAAGGAAGCTGCGGGTGGCTGCGGAGTTAAGGAGTTGATGGTATAACCTCCTGGGACTGTTGCTGCTTCGTTGGTGGTATAGGGCTTGAGAGGTGTCCACCAGAAGAAAAAACGACCGCAGCAAAAAACCCGCCCAAAATGGTGGCCGCCTGGAGCGAAGAACAACCTGGTAGTCCAGGACACTCCAAATCGAGTGGGTAGGCTCAGAGAGAGAAAAAATTAAATTATTATTATTATTATTATTATTATTATTATTATTATTATTATTATTATTATTATTATTATTATTATTATTATTATTAATTGAATTTGTATACCGCCCTACTCCCGAAGGACTCAGGGCGGTGAACAGCCAAAAGATAAAATACATATAATACAAATGTTAAAAAACCATTAAAATACAATTAAATAAATTGTAAATAAATAAATAAATAAGCCTAGTAGACCGGTACTCTTGCAAAAACTAAAAAAAAAAATTTGGTCAAAAAACTCACAGTGGCTCTGAGGAATCGAGCAGACATGGGCTGAGAGCCAGATCTGCTGGAGATGTTTCTCTCAGGCCGACTGAGTCGAAACTGAGCCTGAAAGGGAGGAGCGAGGGGCGTGGTCAAAAACCTATGATTCAGTCTCTAGGCAGATCCGACTGAAGCAACCCATGTCTGGACAATGCCACAGCCATCACTGGAGAATAAAACGTATATAGGCAGGTAATGTGGAAAAAAACTAGTCCTCGCATGCTAGTACTTTTTTTCCTCGGTATTCTTAATAAAAAAAATTTTTCCCAATATACAGCTTATTGTTTGGTGTATGGTGATGGTACAATTAGCCAGGAGACTACAGTGTTATACAAGTATAACACTGTAGTTATTTGTTATACAAGTAGTTATTTGGCTGCCAAAGTGTAGTAGTCTATTTAGTTCATGTTGATGCACTATCTAGGTCTGCCCCAGAAAGATGAGTTATGCACTGTGGAGTCATCTGGGGCCTTCTCTCACCACTGATGTTGCTTTGCAACCAGGCATTGCATCTGGGCAGGTCCAGCACTAGCAGGAGTCCAACTGTCCAAAGTGGTACCTATTTATCTACTTACATGTAGCATACTTTTGAACTGCTAGGTGGAAAGAAGCTGAGGCCAGTGACAGGAACTCATCCCATCACATAATCTGAGGACTCAAACTGCAGGAGCACAGACCTTTTTCAGCATCTTTTAAGCCACTGAGCCACTGCATCTCACAATGCACAGGTAAGGTACATTGTATAAACTTTGAAAGCAAAATGCAATCTTGTGGAACTTCCAAGATTGAGAGAAGGTCTAAATTCTCATAAGAATTCAGTCTTACTTGAAAAAGAAGTATGGACATAATATAACAACTGCACATAAATGCATTTCAAACAGAACTTTTAAGCAAGAACAATTTGTAGACAGCTAAAAAAACGCACTGAAATCTGTTGCTCCTGATTCATCAAAACATGGAAACATTTAATTCAAGAGCTGGCAGATTTTGCTTATAATGAAAATAGTACCTCAAGGACAGAAACTCAGACATGTCAATCAAACAACAGAAAATGGATGTTCCCGGAATGTGGAAGCTCCAGCATTTTCCAGAAGCAAAAACCAAACCCTGAGAAATCCCAATATTGTAATTTCAGCAAGTCTGGTCAGTTAATGGTTCCAACTATCATTTCTACATGATAAGGAGGAGACAGCAAAAATTTTAATTAATCTAGGGCAACGTTTCTAACCCTTAGCAACTTTAAAATATATGGATTTCAACTCCCAGAATTCCCCTGTCAGCTGTGCTGGGGAATTCTGGGAGTTGAAGTCCATATATCTTAAAGTTGCCAAGGTTGAGAAACACTGCCCTAGGCTACTTGCACGCATTCATACATATATACATACATACATACATACACACACACACACACACACACACACACACACACACACACACACACCAGTGGTGAAATCTAAAAAATTTTGTTACCAGTTCTGTGGGCATGGCTTGGTGGGCATGGCTTGGTGGTCATGTGACCGGGTGGGCATGGCCAACTTGACGTCACTCACTGTTAGAGCCAGGAGCTGCAAATTCTGAAGCACATTCTGCCCTTCTGAAGCCCCCAACACTTTGAGTTTCTCCCACTTCTTTCTCTCTCTCTCTCTTCTTTCCTCTTTCTTTCTGTCTCTTTCTCTTTCTTTCTTTCTTTGTCTTTCTCTTTCTTTGTCTCTTTCTCTCCCTTCCTCTTTCTTTTTTTCTTTCTCTCTTACTTTGTCTCTTCCTCTTTCCTTCTTTCTCTTTCTTTCTTTCTTTCTTTCTTTATTCTCTCTCTCTCTCACACACACACACACACACGCACGCGCAGACACACCTGCAGAGGCTGCTGTGGGAGAAGGAAGAAAGTGCTCAGGGAGGGAGGGCGGCCCGGCCCGGCCCAGAACCGGTGCATCCCCCGTCATGGACTGGATGCAGACAGCAGGATCCAAGACGGAGGGGAAGGCAAGCAGGCGGCAGTCACCCAAAGGCCCAGCAGAAGCCAAACGCGCCAGACCCAAAAGGCGAGCAAGGTTCGCCATGTTCCCCCAAGGTGGCTCTTCGGCTGAGCACAGCAGGTCTCCCTTCCCCACCACCAGTGTTGGCCTTACATCTGCCCATCCTCCCGGGGCTGCCCATGCACACCCCAACAGTGGAGTAGCAGTCTCGGCTCCAGCAACAGGAGCGGGAGAAGGAAGAAAGTGAGTGGCCCCTCTCAGCACCGGTGGCGCCGCCCCTCTTCAGCCCCAGCACAACAGTTGTGTCTCCAAGGGCCACCGGGCCAGCGACAAGCAATTCTCTCCCACACAAAGGCTGGATTCCCACTGCAAGCAACAAGAAAATCTAATCGGTCCTCGGGTGGGATGGGGAGGGTTTCTCTTCCTTCCTCGTGAATTAAAAACCCACATTAGAGCTGTGGAGGAGGAGAAGGAAGAGGGGGGCTTGCTGCACAAAAGCCCCAAAGGCCGTGCAAAGTTGCAAGCCTTGGGCGAGCTTGCAAAATGAACTCAATGAACCCCACAAGGAGGAGGAGGAGAAAGTCACGGTCACCTTGCTTTCCCTCTTGCCACTCTGAGCCCTGCCCAGCCTCGAAGCTGGCAGAGGAGAAGAGGGGGAGGAGGAGGGCTGCTTGGTGTGATGCCTCCATTCTCTCCCCCTCTTGCATGGGCAGTATCTCAGCCTTGCAGCCGCTGTGGTCTGCCCCGCAAGCCATGGGCATTGCATTGGGGCGCTGGAGGCAAGCGGAGTTGCAGAGCAGTTTTGCAGAGGAGGTAGAATAGCATGGCGGTGGCTGTCCACACCCTGTTTCTTGGTTTCTTAATTAAGTGGGCATTTTCCCATACCTGACTGATTGACTAGGTAGTTGTGAGGAAAATGCTCACTTAGATATATTCGTTCCACTTTTTCATCAATTTCTATATATGGTTTTCTTTCTATTTTATCCATTTTAATCTGAGACATAATATTGAACTCAGAACAACCACTAACTTCCGGGCCAAATGGAAATCTGTACTTGGAACTCCATTTCAGAGCTCAGAGGTACCAATTCACCATCCCTGAGTTATCCAATGTATTAGAAATGTTGTCTACTTATAACTACCAGTTGTCTGCACTTACATATATATTAATGCAACTTCAGATTGCTAAACCAAGGCCATCCATTTCAGGCATGAAGAAACACTTTATCATGGCAAATTGAACTGAATCATTTATTCAACGGACTGCAACCCCTTGCACTGTTGCAGATTTTGTTTTCTGAGCTTAAAATAAATCAAAATCTCTTCCAAATCCATGTGTTGCTGATAGGGGAAAGAATCATTGCTACTATTTCATCCAAGTAATGTAGCTAAAAGCTTCCTACAGCTGCAAACCAGCATTAAAGTTTTAAGTTCCATCATCCAATCATAAAAGTCATGGTTGGTGGTGCAGTTGTTACAATGTAGTACTGCAGGCTACTTCTGCTGACTGCCGGCTGACTGCAGTTCGGCAATTCAATTCTCACCAGCTCAAAAATATTAACTGATATTTAAACTATGAGTGCTTAGTTTGGATGGAGCGCCGAAGAACACAAGAATTAGGCTGGGGGTTTACATAATCCAACATTCTGTGTTGCAGTAATTAGTTGGATGCACCACAGAAACACATGAGCAAGATCTAAAGATGACAGCTCTCTTTCTACTTTTCTCTCTAGCAAATGGTGTTGAAAATATGCTGCCTTTGATTCTGGAAATAAAATATAACTATCAAGCCTAGTAATCACTGATGTTCTTATCCTTCATGAATTTGTCTACTCCCTTTTAAACCAACTAAATCAGTTGCTATCACATCTGATGTAAGCAAATCCCATAATTTATGTTTATAAGCATTACATTAAGCTAACTCTGTAATTTAAAAACATAGATATTGAGCACACCATAAAGCTATACTCTAAAAAGGGGGTGAAGTGATTCCATGCATTCAAGGAGATTTGGGATTTCTGGTTCCTAAGCAACAATATCTCTGATGTATTATGCTAATAATAAACTTTAAGAATGTGTACTACTTCGAGATAAGAAAGTACTCATCTTAAAATATGATTTCTTCTCTACAATTGATCTTCATGTTCAGAGCTCCAGGGTAGCAGATGTTGAGCCTGACTTATAGGCAGCAATGGGCTAAAAGGAGCTGAGAAGATCCCCACAGAATTCTGGAAGCAGCACATGCAAGACAAACTACTGGTGGGGTCACATATACTCCATGTATACCCACCACATGCATTTGTCTCTCCACTGCAAATCTGACCATTGTTTCTTCACCATTATTAATAGTAGAGAAATACTTTCCTAATAGAGAAATACTTTCCATCAAACCTACTACTGACCACAACAGAGAAATGGCAATGTACAGTAGAAAACTAATGATTTCAACCAGCACTCTTGTAGGGAGAAAAAAATGAGGTTCATATTTTATTTTATTTTTTCATTCAGATTACTGGTGTTCTGTAGTTCCCTTGGAGTCAATTCACAACTAATCTGTTGGATGGAAAAGATAAACAGGCAAGGCTCTAGGGTTAGGGAGGCCACAGGAAGAAGAAGTCACATGTAGTTCAGATGTCAAAATATAATCTGAATTAATGACAGGCAACTTGCAGTTCATACGCCCCCAGTATCCCCATATAGACCTGAAATTTTTATGTGTCAATGTTTGTTTTGCCTTTTTAATGGGCTTGAGGACCAATTAAGAGCCAACATATACAAAATGCATATAAAATTTATATTATGTAGCAAAAATATACAAAACTGTACAATTTATATATGTGCATAAGATCCGTATTTTACTACTGCATTTTAAATATGCAAATTGATGAGAAAACAGATGGAATTGACTGATGATTAATATGAATAAACTGACATGGGTCACATAGAACAACATGGTGGCATGGGTCACATAGAACAACTTGCTTATTGTTGTCTTAACAACAATAGGGCTCCATTCCCTTAGCTGACTCATGACACCATAAAACATTACAGGTAAAGTTGATAGAATTGCTAATATTTTTATAAATGGTTTTTGTGAACAGCCAAATCACAAAATTATCACTTTTGTGTTATATTTTTTTAAAGAAATAAAGAAAAGATTACTTCTCAGTACTTGTCCAACCCAAAAATGTGTTTTTAGTACCCAAACTTTTACACAAAAAGCAATTTCTGAATTACTGCCCAAATGCCAAATCTTATAGTCACCTAGATTAGAAAGGTGGAAATCCTTCTCATTGTTGGTGTTACTCATATTATTGTTGCTAATATTTGGAGCCTCCCAAATAATTCCAATTTGCATTCTGCATTCTGGCCATTCCAGTCTATGACAATGGACAGTAGTATGCTGCCTTGCTCGTTCACACACACACACACCACAGTGAGTCAATGGACTTTATTCAACACCCCACCGCCCTGCAATTCCAAGAAAGTCCACACAACATTCCTGTCCGGCTGCTCCACTCAGCAAGACTGGAGCGATACAAGAATTATTGGTAATCTCAATCCACAAAACCCAAAACACGGCCCAGAGTCAGTCCAAAGTCTGAAACATGAGTTGCATTGAGACTTGGATACACAAAACAGAAACACAGAACAAGGAACCGGACACGTTGTTCCAGGAACGCCCATCTCTTAGGGCAGGATTAAATAGGCAATGGTCCTTTATGATGGGCAAGGTTGTCTCCTTGCAAGTAGCCTGACTGACCAGTATTGTGCCTGTTTTCTTTCTGCCCTACAGGTCCTTGGATTGGGAGGAGATGTGGACTCCTCATCTTTGCTAACTGTCAGAAGCTGCTCACGCTTCTAGCCCGGAGCCTCCACTCTAACCTGCTGCAGCTGCGGCTTCCTCAGTTCAGGCTCAACCTGCCGGCCATCCAATCAACCCAGCTGTGTCTACTCTGTTGGGCTGGAGCCCTCCACTCCCTGATCCAAGTCTCAATGCAACTCCGTGTTTGCTTCCACCTAAAGGCCAGGATCTGGCTCATCCTCCTCTTCTTCCTCTGAACTCACATCCAGAAAAGAGTCCGGACAAGGATTCATTAGCAGAGTCTTCTTGTGCTGACATCAAGTTTTGGAATGCCCCTTTCCTCAATATAGAGCTGGCAGTAACATTGTCACTTTCTCTAGCCATCGATCTGGCAGTGTCACTTTACTCTTGCATTTAGGATTTAATGTGCAGAACCTGTCCGTGTCATTTGCCTTAAGTACTTCGGTAACCATAAAACACTAATGGAGGTCTTTAATTTTTTAAAATTTATTTCACCTAGTTTATTGAGACCAATCCTGTAAACACTGTCACATATTATAAATCCATCAAATGAAAAATAACGTTTTCTTAATTCTGTCACACAAAGTTAACTGCAGATGTCAGAGATCAAATCTCAATATACAAAGCACATGCTCAGTCACTGAGCCATAACTCCTCTACAAGAAAAAAGTATTCTATTTCATTAAATAATAGTCATCTCACAAGATGTCAATGCAGTGCAATATTTTCCCCCAAAATTACCATTTAGACAAGATGAGAGATTAGCAGTAAATCAAGATGAGTTTGACCTTTTGCCCCAGGTTCCCTTCTTGTCCTGCCATGTATTACAAATTATTTAAGGAAGCACCACAACCTCCTGTTTCCAAAAGATTATTAAGTTCATTTCTTGATAATCTTCAAAGAAGCATCCTTTTTAATGGATGAAAAGCTGCAATCTGTTTTCTGAGCTGCAGTAAATTGCTTTTCAGACTGTGGTTGAAATAGACTTACATTTGTTCAGGGACTAGAAATGCCAGAATACAATCTATAGGGAGGGGCCATTCGTTATTTTGAAATCTTGTGTTTTATTCTTGTTTTTCGTCATGCAAATCTGTTAAGATGACTGCACATTTTTCTATGCAGCAAAAGCAACTCTGAACAGACTGTTACTTCCCTGAATGATTGGTCAAGAGATTATTGGCATTTAAATCATTTTCTGAGAATGGGAAATGTAGTCCCCTCCAGAAGGTATTAGGGCAATTAAGGAGCACTTTTGATAAATAGAATACACTGAATGTTTGTCCAATCATTTCCTATGTCAATTTTTATTCTAAATAACTAGCTGAATGGGCAGAATTAATAAATCCCACTCCAAAAATAAAACAAAAGATTAAATTGTCTCTATTCTATAGGATTCTGGAATGGGATTTTAAAATACAGAGCACAATAGCTTCCACGAATGCATGTAATCCTATTGTGCCATGATGAAGTTAGTGACATAGTGCCAGCCTTGTGCCAAGCGGATGCAACTACTTTCCAGCAGACATGATAAGGCCTTGAAGCCTCCTCATCAGAGTAGAACACATTAAAATCCATAAAATTGACAAACAATCCTCTCTACCCAACAGAAACCCTAGCTTTGATTTGCTGCTTTGTTATGGAAGAAATACAGCATCCTCGTGATTGGTGGATCTTGATTAAGAACTGTTTGGTTTTAGCTTAATAGATGAAAGATGATTAGGAGATTTGGATACAAAAAGGGAATGGCCACAAAAACTAAAATATGACTCTGTAATCACTACATTCTACAAACTATTATTTTAAAAAGGTCATATATCATCACTGCTGCATACTGCGTTCTTAACTTTCAATTTTAGGCTGTTCCATAAAGATATTAATACATCTAGCAGTTTGAATGGCCAAACTCTCATTCCCATCTATGTCAGTTGCTCCTTTTCCTTTATAACTTCACAGGCCTTGCTGTGATAATTAAATAATACCTCCTATATCCGACGACCTTGACTACTTCTATCTTTTCCCACTTCTCTCTCACACATCATTTTTTTATGCTATTCCCCTTTCCTTGTCTATCCATTACAGCTACAGCTGACCGCTATAAATTGATTGACTGCAGGTATTCTAATTGGGACACAACCATCTTCCTTCATCCTGCCTTCATCTTCTGACTGCAACAGTGGCATCTTCAGTGTGCCCCAGTCCAGGACCCAACGTTATTGTAAGCGCACAAAGGGCAAAATATGCCCTGCCTGCTACACCGCAAGGAATATCTCCAGACCAAATATGGATTATCAAAAAGAGTGACAAGAGAATATTGGGAAGAGGACAGAAATCAACCCCACTTTAAAAATAACTGACCCGAGGCAGAGCCTTACGATGTTTTTTAGATAAGAGAAGCCATCTTATGCTAAAACTGACATCTGGAAATTGTGTCCATGGGCTAATGCCTACTTGAATAAATCTCCTTCTTTAGTTACATCATGCTAACTGTATTAGGTACATTAGAATAGCACCAAACACATGAAGAATAAAAATGAAGTAATAATAACCTTCTAAAGATTTCTTTAAAGATTTAATTTCAATTAAAAATAATATCTTGTTATTAGGGGATAGAAAGCAACCTGTGATTAAAGCCATTCTACTTTGCTTCCATCTTGTGGCTTGAAATGGCAAATTTTATTAAGGTATATCACTATCTAAGGCTGGAGCTGTCAACCCATGTCACCTCTCTAAAGCTCACTGCCCCCGTTTAGTTTATACCTTTAGCAAAAGAGCGAGGAGGACAAAGGAGACACTAAAAAAGGAGAAAGAGTCAGCAGCAAAATGGGGCTTGGCTTTGTCATTGCTTCTATCCTGCCCACAATGACCTATGAAGCAACTCCTACAAATTACTCATTTGGGAAAACAGTTCTCAGCAAAAGACTTAGGAATTCCTCTCAGCTCTGCTTTATATAATTTCTTAAAATCTTGAAATAAATAATCCTTAGACACCTTTTATTGTACCTAAGATTTGGAACCAAAAGCAGAAAAAAGCAGTTGTCGTGCCATATGCTTCACTGTTCAAATCAAGAATATCTTCCCTCAAAAATATAAATGTTGACTCACAAATCCAATGTCACTGCAATTGACCTCAATTGTCATTTAGGGCAGCAGTCCCCAACCCCCAGGCCGCGGACTGGTAGTGGTCCACAGCCCATTGAGAACTGGGCCATGCAAGAGGCAGGCGAGTGCACAAAGCTTCATTTGTGCATGTGTGGGATTGGGTTCACCATGCAAACCCATCCCGTCCCCCCTCCATACAGCACGCTGCCACCGACCCATGCAGCCAAAAATGGTGGGGACTGCTGATTTAGGGCATCCTAAGCACCAAATTCCTGCTGAGTAAAGTGACACGAATAGTCAAAAGAGCTTTAAATGTGGGAAGACATAAAGCAGCCCCAGCATTTTCAGACTGATCCCTGTTTCTTGACACTTCCACCCATTTTTGTTTGTTGTTGGGAAGACCTGGCATTGCCGCCACTTACAGAAGAAAGGGAGCAAGAAAAAAAGTATCTACAGAATTATGATGGCTTTATCCTAAGGTGCATCAGGAGCTTTAAAGGCTACTGGAGATTACCTACTCAAGCAGAAAGGTCCCATAAGTGAGCCAGACCAAGGTGATTCCAGCCCAACCCTATTTGATTGCAGGAATAAAATGAGTCAAGCCCAGAAAAGTCATTTTGAGCTTCTCTGAAGAACAGAAGACTACAAATACAATAAGCTGAAAGACAAATACTTCCTAAAAACATAAAGACAAAAAGATATATTTTACTGTGATTAGGGACCATGTTGTTCTATATGACCCATGCCAGTTTATTCGTATTAATCATCAGTCAATTCCAGCTGTTTACTCACAATTTGCATATTTAAAATGTGGTAGTAAAATATAGCTCTTATGCACATATATAAATTGTAGAGTTTTGTATATTTTTGCTATATAATATAAATTTCATATGCATTTTGTATATTTTGGCAATTCAGCCGAATACTGAATTGAAACATTTCGTGAAATGCAAAAATTAAGGACCAATATGATAGTATAGAAAAATAGATTTAAAAATCAGGTTTCAAAAAAATATTTCAACATATCCATCACAAATGCCAAAGTGTTTCTACATTGTGAGTGCATCAATAATGAAACATTCTCCATTTTCCATTCTTCTTTAGCACACCATAGATATAAAAATTATATCCATGTACAAAAACTGCCATTTTCAAACCTGCCACTTTTCTATTTCTTACACTGATTGATCTTGACTCTTGACTTAAACCATGAAAAAGCAGATTTTAGACATTAGGCATCTACTACATATTTTTCTCTTTTAGGATAAAATTTCACTTGCTTGCAAAGATAAACTAAGAAGGAGAAAAGGAACAAGAGATGCTGACTTAGTCTTCCAGCTTCCGCTGTTCTTCTCATCTTTCAATACTTTCCGCTCCCTTTAAAGAATCAGTTCATTAACAAAATCATTTACATTCAATTTCTAACTCACTATAGCCCCCACATTAAAACAAGTTAATTTAAACATCTCAACAGAAGCAATGTGTATTAAAATGCTAAGTAATAATATTTAAGCCACGGACACTTTAGAGGCAAACAAGTATTTAGAAAATTACCACTCTTTGAAGTCCCAACTGAGGTTGAGCCATCAAGAACTTCAATATTCAGGATAGGGCTCAGATGAAAATAATTAGTATGAGGCTCAGTGGTCTGGATAGAGCTCAGAAAAAATAATATGGAGGTAACAATATTATTGGTAGGGAAGAACAGCATCCAGTCAAAATGCTCTCAAATTAGGTTATGATGGAATCCCCCACCGGCCACAATATTTCATCCGGAATAATCTTACAACAAAGCTACATCATTCTACAAAATATTAATATTAGCCAGAAGGAGTGCTAGCAAGTTCTGCCATTGCTACAATTAAATACAGTTATGAATCTTCTAACAATAGATTTCTTCTGTCCCCTGCAAAAAGCAAAATCCAAGGACACACCTCCTACATACATATCAAATTCTCCAAATCAAGCCCTTTATTCATTTAGCATTTTTAATGAATGCTGATTCATTAAAATCATTAGCACATGAGAGACTCTTTGAGATGTCTTCAAATCAGTGTTGACTCCTGGCAACTGCCT